ACTTTGTTTTTGTCTCTGTAAATAATTTTTTAATGGCCAAGACACTTGATTTGCAATTTTCTAACTTCTAAAAAAAAAAAAAAATTGTATGGGTTTTATTGTAATACTGGAAGGAATAAATGGTGCCCCCTTTATGGGTGAGCTTGGTGAGTCATCTTTGTCCCAGCCACTGAAGGGTAGTAATTGCTTCCTTAACCCAATGGCTGTTACAAGGTAGTAAGTATTCTGAACTGCATGATTACTTAATGAACATGGAACAGATCTAAATCTAGAGACTATAGGACTTCTATATATTCTCTACCCCCCCCCCCCAATATCCTAAGGTATTACAACTTTTTGTAGGTGTCTGTCCAACACTTAAGATTATTCAGGCTCCATGCAAAAGGAACTCATCTAAAAAAGAATGACGACCTTTCTCTGAACAAGACTGGTGTGGCTCTAAATAGATTGCAATGGACCTTTCAGCTAATGGGTGGTAACGAAGGCCCTTGCCTCCTGTAGTATTCCTCTGCTGAGGTAGACTTATCTGGAGTATCAGACTGTTTTTTAGCTCAGCTCAGTTGCTCACCAAAGCCTGTCTAAAGCCTTTAGCATGGGTGAGTTGTGGCACTACTCAGGGCCTATCATCATAAGAAGTGAGGCTTTTCCCAGTGAAACTAATCCTTTAGTGCCAGTGGTTCTTCCCAGCTACCTCTAACTCAACTCTGTTGCTTCAAGTAGAGGACTATTCTCCAGCAGCAAGCAATCTATGAGAAAAGGAGGGCATGAGCAGTACCTTGAGCAAGTTTACCTTTAAGCTACAACCTCATTAAAAGCTGCTGCTTGCAAATAAGTCTGGAACAAGAGTCAATAACCATTGTTGCTCTGTGGCCTGCTTTTGAAAGCAGTCATGGATTAAACTCTTACTTGTTTTGACTGACTCAGCCACCTTCTCACAGAGGAACTGCAGCGGGGGGGGGGGAATCTAGCCTTAATTACTTGACAAGGAACCACCAACTCCAGTTTTTCCATTAAGATGGACTGTTGTCTGCAAGTCAGTATCTACTCCTATATCTGGAACTACACAGCTTCAGTATTTTCAGACATACTTTGTTTCCTAATTACCTACCCTCCACCTGCTATTAATATTAGCTATTAAAGCCATATAGTCTTCCAGCAGTAGACAATGAATGAATAAATGTCATTCCTTGTACTTCAGAGCAGACAAAAGATGCCCTCACCTAATGCTCATCTACATTACATGCAATTCCATCACAAATACCTGTTTCTTCAACACTAAATTTATAAGACTTGTTAAGTGTCTGTGCAGTTGCCCTAATCCAGTTGGGAAGCAGGCTAGTACATGTCACTGTTACACGTGCAACCACAAACTACTCCTATAGGGTTAACTAGATATTACAGTATAGTAGCCATTTTAAGTAAGACAACCTGAGGGAGGGAGAATGGTCTGGCAGGCTGATGAAAGTAAGCTTTATTCATACACTCACATGAGCTACTCTTCTTCAAGACAAAAAAAAAAAAAATGTATCTGACCCTGACTGTAATCAAGCCACAGTCAAAGGCAGAGCTAAAAGGTATCTATCTAAGAATTTGGTTCACATGCTGGCAAAAAGGGTTTTCCAAGATGCTTGCATTCCTTAACTGTACTGTATGATCATCATTGACTTAAGCCAGGAAATCTTTCCATGCCATTCTTTCCCCTGCTTCAGACCATGCCAAGAGAAGCTGGAATTAAAAGACACTCACTTAGCTTCAGTCTGCTTCCTGAAGTACTTAAAACAACTTTTTAAACAAGCTGGACTTCATCTACTTCCACTCCTGTAGAAGAAATCCAAAACAAGTTGCACACTCCAGCAGTAGTGAGGATGCTGCTAGATAAAAGCACAGCTGTGATTTCCTGTTTAAAGGGAGCAGAGAAGAAACACCTCGTCTTTGACATAGAATGCAAGGGGAAAAAAGCAGAAAAAAAAAAAATCAATGGCATCCCAAACTAGCTTTTCTGCAGGAGTGAGGGGATGAGAATTTTTAATTGAGAAGAAACAAGTAACTGGGTAAAGGCCACATACAAAAAGTGTCAGACCATCAGTGAAGGGGAAAAGGAGCAAAAAGTAGGGCTATGTTAAGTGCAGGTCACAGGAAGTTCAGCATACTACAAGCTTTAGTGAACAAGCTGAAGCCAGAGCTTCCATTTGCCCTTAAAGATCAAGGTGGAGAATGTGCTAAAAGCATAAACAATCTTGTCAAACACCTCTAATTTCCATTTCTTAACAGTGATCTATTAAACTTGTCACTAATGATTTACTCCACTGTTTTTCAAAAATAAAAACTGAACAGATTCCCTCTTCTCGTATTTCTCCTTGCCACAAAAGGGTAAATTCACACCAATATAGAAATGTACCAGTTTTATTACAAAGATTTTCAAAATTCAAAATAAAAGCATCTTTAAAAAACCACAACATATTTTTCTCCCAGACACACAGATACACTGATCTCTCTCACTTTGCATACAAACACTGAAGAGCAGGAGAAGCTGCACATCACTCCAATTCAAGAGACTAAAAACTCACGGTGGAAAGGGGGAAAAAAAGTACTTAAAAAAATAAAACATTTAAAAAATAACCTGTGTTAAGTTAGCAGCATTATTAAGAGTTGAAACTATCAGCAGCGCTCTGTGGGAGGTACAGATCCTCTTGTGGACAGAGGTATCCCCCTGAGAAAGGAGAGCAGCGAGTCAAAACTGTCTGCAAAACTTCTGCACGGCTGGAGCTCAGTGAATCATTTCACAGAAAGCTCATCCAATGATCAGTTGTAATTAGTGAGATATGAGGTAAAGACCAGTCCTGTGCTCAAGAAACCCTGGGGGGAGAGGGGGTAGAAAAAGTGAAAAAAAAGATACAAAGCCCTATCTGCTGTTCTACTACAAAAACAGTAGCTCCAGACTGCAGATTCAAAGGGTTCTTCAAAGTTATTGGCCAAGACAGCAAGAAGAAAGGTCCAATTTAAAAAATCATTTGTGCTTCACAGCAGGTGAGAAGTTTCAGTGAGTGGCAACACTGAGGAGAGGCTTCAGGCAGGCTCTGTTCAAATTTGGTTTGGATGACATGGGAATTTCTGTAGTGGTTTCAGCCAACATTCACCACTCAGAATGCATGCGATATGTGCATGTGTAGCTGAATGGGAAAAGAGCAGGGAGACCTAAGCAGGACAGCAAGGGACAGTAATATTTCCTCCACACATAAGGATTTAGGTAAAAGAAATTAAAGTGTTTAGAGCCCTCCTCTCATTTAAGATGCATAATACTGCCACACTAACTTGACTTGGAAGTATCCACTTGGAAAAAAAAATCTTAACACACTAAGGTGATTTTCGCTCTGGACTCTCCAGATCTGTACCAGTAAGGCTCTTGAGCTGATGCGCCAGAGAGCTTTACAGATTTACTTTTAAGCTGCTTCAACTCCTTCAACAAAATTTGCTGCAGGTAGGTAGCCAACTCTTTTCAAGAACTGCACTATTTGACCCTGAGAAGTGGCACCAGCTTGCAGTTACTTGCCATGGCAAAAATCAGATGGGCTCTATGGAGCAGTCTCTCACAGGTGTAGTTTGGGAATTCAAAATCTCCCACAAAGTTTCATGGCCATATTTCCACCCAACCTGAAATTCAGATACTACTTCTACTTAAATTATTATTCTCCAGAAGACTGTTATCTTAAAAGAAACTGTAAGGGAAGGAAAGTGATTTTTCAAAAGACACACCAAGGAGGCAGTGGAAGGCAAGAGCAAAACTTCCCAGTTGCCAGTTTTGGGCAGTGCAGGTCTGTCTACTCCGCAGAATCCTCCCCATCTGCTCTCAGCGGAGTGCAGCGAGGAATAATTTACAGTTCTTAAGTCATTTATATATTTATATAGAAATATATACAGAAACATATATAAAATATAAATCCTATGGAATGGGAGGCAACCAGAAGAGCTAACCTATGATAACTATGTACTGACAGGTATTGTCCAGTTGCAGTCATCTTAGGCTGATTTAGTCTCTTCCTTTACCCTGTAGAACCAAGAATGGAGAGTGTAAGTTAAACAAGCAATTGAGACTAAAAACAAGCTATAGCAACATACTAAAAGCTTTTACCCATAGGTCCTGTCCCAAGAAGCTTATCATGCTCTAATGCCCATCTCTATCTTACACATACATACCCTTGAGTTTTAAAACCATTGCTTAAAAAATTATTTCATATTTATCTAACACGTCTCATCTAAGGATCTCAAAGTGCTAGTTCCAAAATGAATCTGATACCATCTTTAATGAACAGGTAAGATAGAAAAACTGAACCTCACAGGGAACTTTTGACAAAGGAATGGTATTAGTTCCATCCATCCCAGTTCCCATGACCCTTCTCTAACCATTAAGTCATGCTGCAACCCAAAATGGGGAACAGAAAGGCACAAGTACAAACATGGCAGTTTCACTACTGTTCAGACAAATGGATCTCACCCTTTAGGTTCCGCCTTCTCCTCTTTTGTTTTCTCCTCTTCTTTCTCATCTAGAAAAGAGAAATTCCACATAAAGTGGCAGGGAGACACCAACCAGGCATCAGCCCAGCAAGTCAAAATGGATACCACTCAGCAGCTCTGACTGCAGGAAAACAAGATCACTGGTGAGGAAATCACTTTCAAAGTTACAGCAGAAAAGAGAATCCAAATAGCAGCAGATAATCTGCTTGTGGTTGACAAAGTTTGGAAATAGCCAGGTCCAGTTTAAGCAAGGGGCCAAGCATACCACATGAAGTCATGGTATTGGCCATAAACCTGCTTTTAGCCACTTCTGTATCCTTGAAACTGTCTTCAGCTGGCCTTCAATTAGTCACCAGGATTTGTTGTGAATATAGGAGTTGCCCCAGAAACAAAATAAATTAAAAGACCAGTAAAGAAGCAGACAGTATCAAAGCATACAGACTTTACCAGACTGGTAACTTATTTTATTATACCAGATCACAAGAAGCTCAAGATTGTAACCTTCAGGTAGCTGTTTTGAAGGCTGCAGCAATTATGTCATTCATTTTTTGTGACACAGGCTGCATTTACTGAAACGTGGCCTGTTAAAAAGGTAGAGTTCAGAGAATCACCCCCATGATGTCAATGAAAAGCATTACCAGGGCCTTCTCAATGAAAGACATTCTAAGAAAATGTAATTGCAATGCACCACTGTAATGGGAACTGGGGCAGACACCTGAAAATAGGTTGTATTTTCAAGGAGTTTAGAGTCGCAGAGCCTCTTACCTCAAGAAAACAGGAAAACTAGGATGTTCATATTCACACATGCATTTCCCCCCCCCCACCAAATCTTAAAAATCTCGTGTCAAAGCTTTAGCAAAGGTGATGATTATTTGTCACTAAAACTGCTGTACCAGAATAGTGACAGCAATGGCAAAGAAGTGGTTAAGGACATTGTCTCAAAACTTAAATAATGCTTTATTCTTGTAGTGATGAGCAAGATGCTGAGGCAAGGGTACACTTTAAATTTGCTAGACCACAGTTAACCTTTGTAAACTCAAATAAAGAGTTGTGTCCCCCCCCAGAAAAAAAAAAAACAACCAACTTCTCCAGCCTTGGAAAAACTGGACACTCATGGACCACACACCAGCCTATGCTGCAAGTTGCTGGAGTTTGTTGTGATGACTTTCTATTTGCTGTGAGTTTCCCATGAAGCCAGGTCCATCTCTAGCAGCTATTAATATTCCCAGTGAAACCAATAAGGATGTCAGCACATATACCCCCACACCCTAAAACTCAACCCATCAAGAACTGGGGGAACCTATAAAAAGGCAAATCACAGAAACAGAACCCTGTGATGAAGAGTGAAATGTTGCTGCCCACATACATTCCTGTCACAGACAGCTGGCCTGGCAACCCCAAAGAGGCTCAATATACTGAGAGTTTCCATATTAGCCTACCTTTTTTCTCCTCCTCCTCTTTATCCTCTTCTGTTTTTGCACGCTTGGCTTTCTTATAGTTGGCAACATTTTTGCGACCACCTTCTCCTTCATCTTCAGAATCTGAGAATTCTTCATCACAGGCTATTCTCTTATCAGAATTGCGGACTAAGAACAAAGAGGCAGAAGCTACATCAAACAGGCTAGAGCTCAGAGACTGCAAAGCATTACACATATGTATGGATACAGGCACATGGGGAATGCTCTGCCATGCCAAGAAACTTAATAACAACATGACTACCAATGTAACAGCTTATGCCAATCATTTCCATCTGCCAGCATCAGGATGCGATAACCAACTGACAGGCTTTGGATGAGGTTTACAGCAGGATGACTAGACCTGCCAAAAGGATCAGGTTAACTAAACTTTTACAATGAGAAAACATGGACTACCAGGTACAAAGGACATTAGATTGTCAGGATATACAAGATGGTGATTTCATTCTTAATTGGCAACTTCTTGAATCAGAATGTGACATTCCAACTGCTTCTCTTCCAGAGATCCAAGGAAGGGTACCACGATAGCTCAAAGCTTGTCTATCCCAATCATGCAGCTGGTCCAATAAAAA